GGGTAGCTGCAGTCCCAGAAGCATCACCATATCAGCTTTGTCTAGGGGAGGCTGGAGGAGGATTTTGTTACCTAAAAGGAGGGGTTTTTCTTGCATCTATGTCTTACCAAAAGCAGGCAATCGTGACTCTCCTCTCAACGGCTTTACTACGTTCCTCCTCCTGCATCTTTGTCTCTCAGGGCTTCTCCATAAAACATTTTAAAAAACTACAGAACTTTGGGATTTTAGCTTATTTTATCTGCAGTTTGGTGGATATAGCACCTCGCATGTCGGACTACTGATTCTGGCTCCGATCCCTCTATAGAATTAGTCTGAATATGGAGCACAACATAAACAATATCCTGGCTACTGTTCGTGATACTTGTGTCCACAATGGCTGGATGTGCTACAGCCTCAGAGAAACTGAGAAAATTCAGCAGTTGTCTGGCTCCTATTCTGCTTACACATTGTTGGGCTATTGCAGCTTTGTGGAAGGTCAATATACAAAGCTAAGCATGGCCCTACTCTCTAAGCATTTAAACTCAATATTTCACTGGATGCATTTTAGTCATGCTATTCTCTCTGCTAATAAAAGCTCATAAAACTCCTAGAGAAAACAACATAAATTAGGAGAAACTTCAAATCTCTCTAACTTATACCAGCAGAAAGCAAGCTTTGCACAGACAGAACAGCATGAAGCCGCTGCCCTGGAAGGCTAGCTGGTCTCCCATGTGTCTCTGTACCTCCTAGGACTCAAGTCATTAATCCTATATTGATTGGGCTGTTTAGATGTTGGGCTGTCCACCTCCTTCAAAGCTCTCATACACAGTGCCAAGTTTTGGTTTTTTTTTTTTTTTCATGTAGAAAAGGTCCCATTAAGATCCACTTGTCAAAATTACCCAAGATTACAGCATGAGACTCAATCTGCAATACAGAGGTGAGAAAACTTTCTCCCTTATTTTGTTCATTTTGTCCAGTTACAATGTCACCTCTACTGCTGATGTGCATGCAGCACCTAGCATGGGGGTGGCTGTGCCACAACGCAAACAACAAGGAACACATCTTGAAACTGACACACTGAGAAATACATAACAACACTAGGTCCCACTTTCAGCACAGTGAACATATTCCCCAGTAGGAAATAAGGGAAAAGAAGCAACTAAAGTTAAAACTGCAGATAAAACACATTTTAGGCTGACGACTTGGTACACAATAGTGCTTTGATCTTCTCAATCAGAAAACAACTTGACTTCAGTCTTTTCTTCTGGGCATTATGGCCAGGATCATACCAACACTCTACAGGATCTGTTCTAGCTCAAGTATTATTTATTCGCATGTTTTATTATTCTGTTTCATGGAGAAATGCAAGGACCTCATCTCATTAACTGAAGGAAAATGGAGTTTTATTTTTTAATGTCATGAACATGGTAGCCCTGCAACCAGGGGTAATGCTCAAAACACTTAATGTACCTAGAGATATAATGTGACAGGGAAACTTTCCATGCATTCAATGAGAGATGACAGCACACAGATAAAACACTAATCCCTTGTTATCAGGTCTAGGTACCAGGCTAAATGCAATTGCCAGAAATTCTCAGTAGAAGTTGACAGGACCAAGACATGGTTCATTTAGGGTCACTGGAAAATCCTGTTTTATTTGCATAAGCATTTCAGGAAGTGCTTTAAGTGTCTTGCTTTCCAGCAAAAGTTTAAGCAATTAAACATAGCCACATATTAACAGCAAGCGATGTTTTGAGATGCACATCCTCAGAGGTATTTAAACAGTAACACCTACTGATTTCCAGGAAAGGCAATCCAGCATCTTAGCCCAAATGTCCTGCTAAGTGGAGAAGTATAAAACTCTCTGAAGTCAACATATCTATCCCATCTGTAATTCTGTTTTATGGCAGTTAAGACGATGGTAGAGAATCAACACCAAATTAGGAAAATACTTTATTTGAATTTTTAACCATATTTTAACTCTCCACTTTTTCTGACAAAGGATAATGAACTTTGTTTTTTATTATCTCAAAGTATGATAATATCCTCAGAGAAAATTCATATTGGATTTTGTAAGTATTTGGTATATTCTTTGTTTATTGTCTCAGTCTTCAGCCATTAGCAGTGAATCGTTGTGTTGTTATACAAACCAGAAAACAACAACTACAAATAGCAATCAGTCTCTGCCTCAGGACACACAACAAGCTGAAGAGAATGATCTGAAAATGCTTTAGAGTTGCCTGACAAAATCAGACTTACTGTTTATGGCCAGAACAGATGCCTGCTATTTCAGATGACTGCTAATTCAGGTAGGCATTTAAACTATAAAAGCAGTTTACGTCTACAAGCATCCTGAGTCACCTGCATTATGGCCATGGCTGCTCCAGCCACTCATCCAGCTTGAAAGGTGAAAAAAGGCTGGAGTATCCACTTCAACATTTTAGGCTGGCAATTATAATTGTACTGGGATTTGCTCAGGACATGAAAACTACACACTCCTCCAATAAGCAAACTCATAATTCCTGGACTTGACTTAATCAGTGTTGGCAAAAGGATAGAGAAAAAAGGTATTTTAAAGGAATCTTTAATAGAAAGTGTGTATGGGGAAGGATAACCATGGGCAGGGAACAGAGCTGGAGTTCCAGGGAGCTGCTGGTTTCCTGTTTGGAAACCAGAAAAACAACATTACACCTCTGCATCCCTCAGCTTCCCCATCCATAAAATGGAGACAACAGTACCAAAACTCGCTTTAAAAAGCACTTTCAGTGATGACTGAGAAAGTTACCTTCATATTGGCATCTTGCTTCTAGGAACTATATTTTCAGAAGCATAGTATCACAACCTTCTCTCACTTCTACTGAACACCCCTTTCTTTGTGAAGTTATCAACTTCCTACCGTTTTAATGTTGTTAGTGATCCCATTCAGAGACAGAGAGCTAAAACGAGCAAGAAAAACATGGGCCTTCATTTAGAGACATAATCTGTTTAATAAATATGACTGTAAAAGCGATAAACAATAGCAATTATACATACGCTACATTGTATTTAATGAAAGGGAAAAAGAAGATGAAAAAGTACATCAAAAAAAGTAATTTTAAAATTAGAAATAGTTCCAACACTATAAGAAAACTTTTCGATTGGCTTACTATAAAAATAAGTTGGCTAATGTTGGACTTCAGTGGGGAGTATTATACAGTTGCTGCCAAAACTTTCCCATCTTTCATAAAGCTATAGTTGCAAAGCTGTACAAACTGTTGTGTTTTCACCTGTCTTCAGAGAAACAACAGAAAGGGTCAGAGGACTCTGCACTGTGATTCTCCTTTAACTACTACAGGTCTAATGTTCTTACACTTGGTATCACCTTTTATTTTTTTGCCAGCAAGTAGGCTGATTTGGGCTCCTGCCCAGTTTGTGACAGAGAAATTCAAACCCACCACCACCAAACCCCTGCCCCAGGACTCCAGGCAATGCCACGGACACTGCTGTTTCCACGTGAAATGCCTATTGAACAAAACCCACTCATGGCAGGAATCAGTTTGCCTCCTAAGTGTGCTACACTGATCATGAACCAGCCTCTATTTGCCTTCACCTAACATAGTTAAGTAAGCATATATTGGTTATTGTCTTTCTCTCTTTGCGCTTCAAACCAAAATCATGGTGCTAGGTTTACCTGAGTTGGGTTGGAAATCAACAGCTGTGACTACCATGTGTTAGGTTTCAGACAGATATCCAGTGCCTTGGGAGGACTTGTTCGACGTATGCTAAGCCTGCTTTCCTGCTGTTCCCTTGCATAATCTACGTGAACATGTCCTGCAGCCTCATTTCTAGTTGCAGTGTAAGATAAAATCTCATGTTATTGGTAAGAAACCAAATCTTGTACAAGAGTGGTCCTGTGGTGCTGGGGCTCAAAATGCATGGTAACAGTCTCAGTCCAAATCCTCCTTTAATCTCCCTCTTCTGCCCAGAGTGGCAGGAGTTTGCAGATATGCAACCACAGCGGGGTTGCCAAGAAGGCCATAGAAAACTGCGCATAGACCTTTCCCTGCTCCCTATTCTATGGACAAGGGGTCTTTCAAAAAATTGACAGGCCTTGAGGTGACTCCCAAAAGGCAGAGATCTCCTGGGACTTCTCCAGGCAAATCCAAACATGAGCACTAAATGCAGCTGAGGGTGTTACTAGGGCCTTCTCTTAGCCAAAACTGAAGTTGTAAGGCTGGTACAAAGTACAGTGTAAGTTCATGCTGGCAATAACCTCCTGCAAGTGCAGTATGGACAGGTCTCCCTGCCTGTTATGTGTGCTAGTTCAGTTCCATTCAAGGTTAGGAGGCAAAAAGTTATCTTTCAACAGTGCTATTAATGGGATGCCTTGGTGTGAGTAGGCTAAAAAAGCTGTTTAAGAGCCCAGCCTTGTGGCTGGGATCACCCACACTCACACTCAGCCTCCTGGCAGCTGTGGGGCACAGGCAGCAGCTAAAGGAAGAGGAACGAAGGCCAAACAAAAACATAAACCAGACTGACCAAGAATATTTTCAGTGCCTTTAAATTCCAGTGTGACTTTCTGCGTGTCCTATGACAGTCTGCTGGGGCGGCTAGCCCTCCCGCAGCCCAAAGTGCTAAAAGAGCAGTTAAATCTAAAGTCAAGAACCCTAAACATCCCCTTCCCACCTCCCCTAACCCTTCTACCCCCACATCCCAGCCCCCCCCTCTCCCTATAGATATCCCCATGCATATTCTTGGCCTATATAATTATGAATTTTCTACAAATTAGAGACAGATCAGAAAAAAGACAGAGTGAAAGGGTGAGGGGAAGGGAAGCAGGAGTGAATAGTGGTATCAGTTCCTCTCCCCCATCCCCCACTAAAACTGAACACCTGTACAACGCAGTTCCACTATGGTCTCAGTATAATGTCCACATGCACAGGTTTAAAGCTAAAAACCCTTTGTCATCTGAAGAATTAAAAAGTCCAAATGCAGTGAGCTCTCCTCTTTCTTTTAGAGATATATATATAGGTGTCCTCAATTCAACCATTTACATAGGTAGGGATTTCTTTTGTGCTCTGGGGCTCAGCAGCTGTGGAAATACTTCCTGTGGCAAAGAAAAAAAAAAAAAGAACAAAACAAAAGAGTCAGTAAATAAAAAGTGTGTTTAGCCAAGGACGATGTTTGAAGGTATAACCTTGCTGGCCTTTGGGATTCAACTGTTCCAGACTGACAAATTCTTCCCAGAAATGTTTTATCATTCAAAACACTGATAGTGATGTCCTGTTCTTTTGCTAATGAAGATGATTCACCCATATTGAACAGAGAGGGAGAGGCCAGAGCAGAGGGGTGGAAGGAAGGAGGGGTTGAGGTCCTCAGAGGAAATGTGTAACTCATTTGCAACGATAAGGTATCATTGCAAAAAATATCAAGATTTCATAAATCACCTTAAGCTTTGCATTTGCAGAAGAAGAGCCTAAACCACTCATATCTAATCTATAAAATATGGTTTTTGCTGCCAGAATTTGGAGAGAAAATTAAATGATCCAGAGACTTTAATTCAGATTCCTCCAGGGAAGGATCCCTGAATGTTAGTCAAAGGGATTGAAAAAACTTGGCTTCTGAACAAGCATACAAAAGAGAAACACCCAATTACAGTCCTGCTTTGTTTTCCCAAAAGAAAGAAAACTCATTAAAAAGAAATTGCTGATTTCCAGAAACAGATGAGGTGGTTGTATAGGAAAGTAAAGAGCCTTTGCACTTTCTATTCTGTTCACACCTAGGTCCAGACCTTTTCATTTTGTCAATGAGCTCTGATTCAGTTTCCTCATTCATCTTACTGACAGGATGGAAAAACACTCTTAGGAAGTTTGTTGGACTTATTCCTTTTGATAGAGAATTGAGTCTATGTATCCTCCGCATTTACCTTTTGTGCTTGCTAGTGCAGTTACAGGTGCAGACCAAGGAGTTATAAAAGGCCAATTGCTGGTTCAATGCAGTGTCCAGTAGCACAGCTGAGAAACATACTAAATCCTAGCTATTGTAGAAAGCCAGAAATGCTATAGTTGCACCAAATGAAAACCTACCTCCAAAATTGGCTTTTGACTACTCTTATCGTAGAGGCTTCAAGGTATTAGTTTCCAACACCAGCACTGCCACTTCAGTCTGTGTGACCTGTGAAAACATGTGTTTCCCTACCCCTAGAGCAGCATGAACCATAGCCATTACATTCTTTTAGAAAGGGAAAACTCAAAGCCCATGTCTATTTCTAGAAAGAGAGTTCCTGACATCAAATTGGGTGTTTCTCCCTTAGCATCTTACAGCAATTTTGCCTTGGAGACTTCTGGGGCAGAAAGAAAACAAATGAAAAAAAGAATTGTTAAAGTTTAGGACCCACCGCTCCGGGTCTTGGCTTGAAACCTCTTGGTGATCCACAAGCCTTTTGGAAGTCCTCTGTCCAGACTACCTTGGTTGCATTTCCTTTCCTTGGGTTCTGGACTGTGGCCTGGGGTTGCTCTGTATGGGGAACACCACATGGGAAGGTTGGTCCCCTCACTTCATCCTGTGTTCTGCTAAGCAGGGGTGTTGGGTCTGCTGATGAACAGCTGCTGAAAAGCTTTTACTAGCTACCAGATCTCTCTTTGGTGAATGGGTGATGAGAGATGAGAATTTACTACACAGGGGCTTCCAGCTCTGACATCAGTTTCATCAAGAGACTTTCTTCTTTTTCCTCCCAGATTGTTTCACAGTGCACAATCTCAGCACATCACTTCGGTCCTTTCATTGCCCTTCCCCTTGCACCCACTCTGCAGTAGCTATGACACCAAGCCTGCTTTAGCAAACACTCCCATACAATTTAGGAACATCCCCAGGTAAGATCTAAGGTTTGGTTAAGCTGATGAAACTGTGCAAATAAGGGATCTCACGACTATGTCTCACTCCTGTCTGAGTCAGAACAGCTATAAATTTTAATTCCTCTAAAATAGGTCCATGTCATTATTTGCAGGGGTTCTGTACCGCACCTCTGGTCTGGGCCTGAAGAATTGTCATCTCACAAGTGAAGCTGAGCAATGCCTGAGCAATGTTCTCTTTAGCAAAACATGCCCCCAGGCTGAAACCTCCCTCCTGCTCTATCCCGACTCTTTTTCTATAGGCAGGGTAACAGAACACACCTAAGCATGAGGAAATGTGTGACTGATCCCAGTATGCCCAGTTCAAGCCTATTCACTTTAGGTCCTATGAAAGCATGCTTTGCAAATTTTAAACCAGAGATGCCTGTGGGAGAAATCAGCCTAAGGGCAAACTCAGCTGTCCAATGCTGAGATTCCAAGTTCTGCTGGATTTCCCCTGGGAATCAGCCAGGCTAGCACTGCTCCTGGCAACAAGGTCTGGCACAGCACAAAGACCACAGCAGTCAAAATGAATCAACAAATATTTAGCTCTTAGATCTAACTTACCGAATCACCTTCTCACCTCCATGTTCCAGGTGAGGGTGGCTGCGGTTCTCCTGGATACGCTTCATGTGTGGGGTTTAGCCCCACAACTACATCAGCCCCAGCAAAATAAATTGAATTAGCTTATAGCACAAGTTAAGTGTTGGCAGAATTTTTGAGAAGGGGAGAGGATCTACATAGAGCAACTAGGAGAAAGAAAAAGTCTGAAGTTGTTCCCCTCCCTTTCATCTCATGGCAGTGAGGGAGAGAGCAGAGTTAGCAAGGTTTCCAGTAGGAAAACTAATGCTGTAGCAGAAGAGGATGGGAAGACGAATCTGCAGAAATGTGGGAAGGGGGGAGGCTGAGAAAAGGGTTAGCCAATTGTAAGAGTCTAACCAGCTGCAGGATGCTGCAAGTTATTTACCTATGGGCTGGACTTCCAACTTCTCATCTACTAGTTGCACAGGGCTCATCAGCTCACTTTGAGGGACATTTGGTATGTTTTCCCTCTGACTGACTGGACTGACCATCTCTTGATCTTTTTCATTCTGCATCTGTGCATATATATTAAGGCCAGGAATCTTCCTAAAACATTAACAGAAACCATCATTGTGGGGTACTCTGATAGATGATGTAGCATCAGCTTCTACAAACCAAGAAACACATCACTGCAAAAAAAAGAAAACTCAGCAAAACAAATGCTGAACACCTCTGTGAAAGGCGGCAACAGGGAGAAGGAAATGGCTCAGGGAGTGACATACCTTTTGAACTTGTAGATTACAAACACGGCTAGTCCCACAAAAACAACAGAGAGGAGCATCAGCATAGCTGAACCACTGTGACTGGGAGTGAGGTCCACCAGGGGAGCTGCAAGAGAGGGAGGGAAGGTTAGAGCTGCCCCCAGGCTTCGTCTGTCCACACATCTCCAGGGCTTCTCTCCCTCTCTAATCCATCTGGGAGAGACCTGGGTTCAGACCACTTGTAGTGCTCAGCCTACCCCTTGATGCGAATCCCCATAGATTTCTCCTTAGAGGCCTCTTCTCTCTGGCATATTAGAAGACAGCATGAAAGATACTTTCTCATATTGCTGCCAATTACCTAAGGTAGTTGCAAAAGAGGTCACTCGGACACCAAAACTAGTGTTTTCTGGATGCTCCTGGAGCTACCCATGGGCTAACTTGTCATGTTGACTTTCTATTTTGCTTAGAGCTAGTTTGAGGAGCTCCCAATGCATAGTGAACAACGAGCAACTGGGTCCTCAATTTAACTTAAGCAGCAATGCTTGCCATTGTCCTCTTCCTTCCCAACCAAAAGCCCAGTGCCCTTCCCAGACACTGCCTCAGCATCCATGCCTTAACATGGCAAGCTCTTCTCACACCTCTGACACTTTCCGTTTCTTCCTTTATCCCCTTCCTACTCTTCTGAACATGTTCTGCCCTCTGTTCCGTGATGCCCTGCTCTCTCTCCCACAAGACTTCCATGCAAGACAGGTTCAAGAAAAAAACAAAACAAAACAAATCAAAAACAAAACAAAAAACCCCAAAAACCAAACTCTAATAAAACAAAAAGTCACTCTGTGCTTCTCCTCAGAGTTTTGCTCTCCACCTTTTCATAGCTCCTTCCAAAATGAGGCCACACAACACAGCCAAAAGCATGGCTTTCCCAGAAATACAAAATAAATTGTATTAGAGACAGTTTCCGTCAATCATACGCACACACACAGAAAGACATCTAGCATCCACAAAGGAACACACATAGGTCCAGCAGTCTCAGTTGTTCACGTCACGTAGACATTAACAAAACATACTGTAGACAGACATGCAGCTGTAGCTGTGCCACAACACAGAGCTAATGCACACAGCACACACATCCTCACTGACTATCTGGCGTTACACACGTAATACAAACTGCCTTCCTCTGCACTTCACTTGAACCGCTGCCATGCACATCCTCTGTCTCTTGCCCCTCTTCATATGCACTGAATGGACTCATCCTAAACCAGAGCCAGCAGACACACGGCTCTGGTTTAGGATGAGTCCATTCAGTGCAAATACACCCAAGCAAATACTTACTCAGACACACACATCACACACATGCAGTTTTCATCTGTCACACCCAGCTTGATAAAGCCAAAATTTACAGAGAAGTGAAAAACCTTCTCCTTCCCACATCACATAGGCTATCCTGAGGAAGGCGAGGCACCAGCGTGAAATGAACTGTTATTATGAATTCCTTATACATCTCCACGCTGTCTCCTTTGCATCTGTATTTTGTGGGTCTCTACAGTTCTGTGGGATGACAAAGTGGCTCTCTGACCAATTCAGGCTCAGCATCACTCAATGTTCTTGTTATAATGCTGCACTGAGAGTCTGGCAATAAACAGCTATTTAACTGCTTTGTGAGAAATACTGGCATATTTTACTCTGCCTTAGAGTTGAGGTTGGGGACATTGTTTTATTGTTTTTTCATGAGATGAAGGAATGAACATGATGAATGGATTGCAATCTATTGTCCATAATTGCCATAAATTAATTCTTCCTCCAGTGTGGCCCGAACAAAGAAGATGGAGGTCTGAAATGTGTAAGCCAAAGGCCCATCATTCTTCTCTACTCTGGAAATGCACGTGCTCACATACAACACACACATGCACATACACACACACAGGCTCATTTCTACAGGTTCTCCTTAAAAATCCACATCAAGCTAGTTTAGATACCTGCACTTCTGTTCCCTGCAGCTCCTCTGCTGCAGAAATTTCTGTTGTGCACAACTGGGCACACACACATGGAGGAAAATACACGTGCACTGAGGCATGGGAACATAAATGTAGGTATATGTATACATACACACTTACACAAACACATGCTGAGCTTTGTGGTTCATTCAACTACAGCTCATAGCTGCCAGGAGTCCAACAAAGAGTCATAGTGAAAAGGATGAGAAAGAAAGGATGCCATAGACCAGAGCAGCACCTCTGAGCCACGTGCATCCCCCCGGATTGTGTTTTCTAGAGACTGTTTCTTATGCTGGCTTGTGTTCCAGGTTTCCCTGATCTATTTTATTCATTTTTTTTAAAGCTTGGATTTCAAAAGGAAAATTCTTCTTCTTCCTTGACAACCAAATCAATAATTTTCAGCAGTGAAGTAAATCTCTCTTTTGGCATTTTGTAAAATTCTAAACTATTCCCAAGTTTTGATATAATGAAATTGAGCCTTTTATTTAGACAGGGAACTGAGTCATGACCTCTGCAGCTTGATAAGGAGCCATATTCCCTCAGAGACCTCATAGTGGCTGTTTTCTGGGCTTTTTAATATCTAGTTTGGCAGTCCAGGCTCATTTTGCATTCTTACTGGATCGTATTTCTGCAAGAGATAAAATCCTGTAGTGTTCCTATAGGACACTGTGAAGCCAGTTACAGCACTCACATCTCACCAGCGGCTTTGAAGAGAAGTAAAACAAAGCCTATCTTGCAGGAAAAATAAGTATTTGCATCTATTATAGACAAAAAGTACTCATTCCTGGTCTGTGTGTAAACACAAATAAAAATGTGCATTTTCAGCAGGCACAAAGATCATGTATCTACACCACGTCTGAGCCAAGTACCCTCTGCTTCAGCCTGAGATAGCAAGAAACTGACAGCATGTGCCTGGAGGCCATACTGTTACTTAGCATGGCTGTATGGCACACTGATAGACCATGCCATTTGGACCACAAAGGGCAGCAGACAAGGTTTAGTAGCCCAGAAAAGTGCTACAGTACCTCCACTAATTGTCTGGCTTCAGGACTGGAACTACCCAGCTTTTAGCCACCTCTAAGCATCGATGGAGCAGCTGGGGACCCTGTGCACTCCCTCATGCAGACATGCCCAGAATTCCTCTCCAAGAACCTGCAGGAGGCTCCTACATACAGCACAAAACTTGGATTCAGGTTCATCTCAGATTAAAGACAGGGCTGGAGATGTGATTATAAGTGCCACCTGCTTCCATTACACGAAATCAGGGATATTCTTTAATAGCAAGAGGTAAAGATGAGCCTTTCCCAGGAGTATCTAATATGACTCTTTCTAACTGTAATTTATTAGAAAAGGCCTACAGGATATTGAGGGCCAGAGGAGTAATTTTTAAAAGTTCATTTGGGATTGGATTTTGACTTTAATGAACGTTGACCAAAATGGAAAACAGCTATATGCACTGGCAGAGTAAATGCATAGAAACAAATTTCAAAAATTATGAGCAGTTGCAGGTAACTCCACATTTGAAGCTCACATTAAGATGCTTTCAGCTTTTCTTTCTGAGATGGGTGTTGAGCATTTTCTGAAAGCACATTAGTATCACTGGTCATTGTTGCAAATTCAGAACAAGGATTGCTTCCAAGATAACAACTATTATGCAAAATGTATAGGAATTTGAATCTTAAATGTCATGCAATTGTTCAGTGTCATATGTCTATTACTTTTTTTACAAACTACAGAAACAAAAAAAGTTAAACTGACTTCTCAAGCTGTTATTTTTTTTTTCTCTGATATTAATCAGCTGTGCTGTGTCCCTGCTTTTTTATGCTTTTGGTTCTAACATGTCTAAAACTAAGCATCTGATCATCTGTTCCACAGCTAATAGAAAGCAGAAACATGCAGCAATATTCCCAGGGCAGATATTAGCAAGTTCTGCTTAGGAAAAATGAAATACTTCCAACACTAAGGCGTTCTTCCAGGGGGAATTAAATGTGGTCGTATTACACCCTTTCTTAACAATCTCTTTTTTCTTCCCTTTATGGACAAGGCAACACATGGACTGACACCCTCTTGGGCAGACCTGTTCATACCACAAAAAGCTGGTACAAGTGAACTGAGGCTTTTACTTTGCAAGTTAGCAAAACAAGCTGATACCAACTGATCAGAATTATCAGCAGCTCCTAGAGAAAAGGAATTCCATCTCTTGTAATAGCTAAACAGGGCCTGTGCAGTGAAATGAGGGTTTAGCATACAGAATAGCCAGAGATGCACATAATTAAATATCAGGAGTTTGGAGACTGTTCATTTTGAGATAGGATTAGTTAAAGTCCAAACTGCCTAATCTTGTGTGTGTGCATATGCAAATTGATTCTAGCCTTTCAGACTGCTGAACAACTTCTGAACTGTGCCTAGTCGCTTTGAATGCTCGTTGACTCTAGAATATCTGAATATATCCATGCTAGCTGATAACCTTCACAACTGTGTGATCCAGGCTGAATACGCCATGATGCTGCTTAGCTGGTGAATATTTCAGAGACAGCCAAGAAGTACACATTTCTACTGCTACTTATACTGCATTTCCAACAACAACAGCAAATTTTTGCACATAAGTAAACAAAAGGACTAGCTGTAACTGCAAAATCCAATATATCTTTTTGGCATGATAAAGAAAGAGGAGGTGGAGCAGGAATTTTAATGTCTGCCTATATGCTGATTTGTTATTATGACATAAAAATAAGAAGTGTTTAAAACACAGCTGGTAGCACACTACTGCCATCAAGGACTATATTGCTTGCTGTGCTACAGAGAAACTGAGTGTGTACAGACAAAGAGGATACTGACCTGCTGTTAAATGGGCAGCATGGACAAGGATTCGAAGTCCTGGCTTCAACTCAAAATGGACGAGGTTTTGGTTCAGTTTCTGGATCAGTGTTTCTGAAATCTGGAGACAAGGAGAAAATAAGAAACACATTTGCTTCTTGATCATTGGTTTAGATTGCCAATAGGTGGGTAGGAAATGGAGCTGCATGCAAAGCAAAGATTTTGAGAAGGCACCAGACTTTCTGAGCACCATTTCCTATAACTCTACAAAGAAAGAGTTTGTGAAAGCTGAACACATCTTCCATTACTATGTCCAGACTGGTTTGTGTATAGCTAGCAATGACTGATAGCAACAAGTTGCCCTGTCATACTTCTGTAGGAGTGGCCCAGAAGCAAAAGCGACTTGAGCCCCAAAGGAACATTACACCCACATGTGTGCCTGCAGGACCAGCCAGCAACAGCACATCAGAGAACTCCATTTACTATTCAAGCAAAGGGAAGTATTTCAATTATTAACGCTCATTCTCTCAGAACAAGTAACTTTTTGCTCATTGAGTGGCCAGCTATATGATCATAAAGCATGTTCATAGTGTCATATACCTGAATCAAATACTTTAAGTCCTTACCCCAGCTTGCAGTGAAATTTCAAGTCCTAAAACCAAATTTTAATACATTCAGCTCTGAGTTTCAAGCCAGCTGCTCCCTAATCCTTATGTATGTACCAGAACCAGATTGAATTTGAAAGTCTTTACTGGCTACAGTGTGGCTTAAACAAAATGCATGTTCCATCTATTCTTATGGGTTACGCAAAGAGAGAACATACTCTTACATTCTATCTGTCATGGGAGAGACATTCCACAGACCTTTTGGAGCACGGGATTATCTTGCCATAACTCTGATGACAACAACAAAGCTCTAGCAGAAATGAAACAGGCTATTCCTCCTTAAAGGACACAACAGAAAAGATGAGCATTTGCTGAGATAAAACCCCATGAAAGCTGTATTTGTACAGTGAAGAAGCCAAGCTTTGGTCCAATCTGTTGGTAAACATTCCTTTTTTTAAGTCAGTTTGTCACGATATGCACAGAGCTACTTTCTCCATATCACTCTTAATTATATCCAAGAAGTTTCAGGCATGTTGCCATTAAAAGTAAGAAATCCAGATAGACTAATAAAGGAATGGAAGCCTATAGAAACGGTGTTGCTAGTTTGTTGTGTGTCTTTTGTACGCTCATTTTCTAGATGTTTCTAATTTTCTTACAGCAGTGAGCAATTTTCCAATTGAACATAGCCACTGTTCTGCATGTTGGTTTATTAGGGAGAGGTGGCTGGAAAACTACAAAAAAATACCTCCACCCCACCCCACAACCCTTAATATGCAGCTGCTGAGAACATTGTGTTTTTATAGCCATACTAAGATCAAGAGGAATTGCATTCTATTGCTCACCACTTAATTTAATTTGTTTTAAATAAATCCTTATTCCTTCTTGAAGATTAATGAAAAATTGTCAGAAAAAAGAACATTCCAATAATTTTTACACCATCTTTTTCATGTTCTTCATTTTTGTCTGGTTGAGTTATTTCAGTAAATGCTACCCAGATATGATTAGATGTTCCTTGGCTATCATTCATCACACTATGAGATTTATCTGCCTCTTTTATTTTTTTAACATTCTTAATGGTTATTTCAATACTCTCGGCTTGTGCACTTCATTTCTGGCTGCTGATCATCTGAATAGGTGCCTTTGGTCCAATATCAATTTGGCAATAACTCTTACAGACATTTTATTTATATTTTTTAATATATCTCTTTAAAGTTTACAATTTGGTTCATGAATGCCAGAATGAGCAGTAAATATATTTCTTCCAATAGCAAGAAAAAATACCACCTGCTTACAAAGAGCCATCTGCTGAGCTCAGAGCAGCAGGGATGGTGACACAAAGATCTGCAGTACATGAAGAAAGCCTGGGAAGCAAATTATATCCCTCTTTAAGAATTTGAGCATATTAATAACCAAGATTGACAACTGTAAAGAGTGCTTCATCTCTAAAACTGGAGTAACAGATGCAAATCGATATGCTACAAACCAGGTACGTTAATGGCTTACGGAAATAACAGGAAAAATATCATCCTCGCTGTTTCCAGTCTCAAACAAGACCTAACAACTCTCCTCCATACCCCTCCATACTTCATTTCCCTTTGAGCTCTGAGATGCTGATGCTGCTGGACAGCTCAGCCTAGGAAAAACAACGACAAAACAGTAAACTGAAGAAAAGAACCAATCCCATTGTGTCATTCCTCTTCAAAAGATTGTGGTAGCTGCACAAAATTGTCAGGTCAGAGGTAAAAACCATACATGATGCCTTCTATACAAAAAGAGACAACGTGATGTATAATTAAGAATGCAGCTAGTAAATATTGTTCTCTATTATTGAGGAAAGGTTTCATCGAGGATTTGGGCAAAAAATGGAAGAACAAGAGAACCTCAAGAAAGTCAGCAAGAGAAGGGACCAGATAATTTTTTGGACAGCAGTGACATGAAGGAACACTGAGATCTAACCTGGCCTGCCTGAGGACTCCTGCAGCACAGAGTGAAGAGGGCAAAACAACAGCACCGGCAGGAACATCACAGCTCAGAGGTGCTGTGGTAGCCTTCCAGCAGGCTAGTTGAGTGTGTGACAGAAAGCTCAACCAGTATTCTTGTCTGGCAAGCCAATGAAAAGAAATAATAGGAAGGGGAGAGGCAGTAAGAGTGAAGTAGTAAGAGAAATGAAGAAAGGCAGAGAGAAACAGTCACAACTGACGTTTATTATTATTGTATTGCATTGTTACACGATCATGAGTGAGGACCTCATTGTACTACATCTTGTACAAATGCAACTCAGAATAAAATTATTTCTGCCAGAAACCATCAGTACCTCTGCAGAAACCCGAAATAGCCATCAATGTTCCAGGTCTATATACCAAGTGTCAAAACAGGCAGCAATCGTTCATGCTGCTCAGAGTATACACCTATTTCCTCGGCTCTTATATGCTCTCCCAGTGGCTTTCTGGGTGCAGGTTTTTTGCCTGGGTCTTTATGGAGTTTGAACAAGTCAAAAAATAATGAGTAATAGCCCAAGACCCTGAAAAGCACCAGAAGTTCTTGTAAGAATCAGACGTCTGCCTACCTCAGGCAGATATGGAGATTCCTGACACACACTTCTGAGGGATAAAAAGATGCAGTGAGACATATTTTTAATATGTTTGCTTGCTTAGTACGATATTTTCATTTCTCTTTATGTGAAAAGTCAGATTCTCTAAGAAACAGATACACAGTATAGAAAGAGGGAGAAAAATGCATTTCAGTACTTCTAAAAATTATCCGAAACACAATGGTTTACAAACACCAGTACTTGAAGTCAGTGAGCAGGTTACACACAGCTAAAGGGCCAAATTCACATTGGGATTGGACACTGCTCTCCAAAGTTGGACCTGACAATGTTTCTGGTCCTCACATGGTCCCAAGAGGATCTGTGAACTGAAGATCACTCAGGACACTCACTTTGAGATTAGAGAAGTGGCTCTTCTGCCTTTCTTATTCTATCAAGTCTGTTTCTAGCTCAGTGGGTCACAGCTTATCAGACTTTAACCTAGAAGTGGTTCTGACTCATACACCTTGTTTACAACATTAATAAAGGGTCTTTCAAGTAAATCTCCACATAAAGGATGATCTCAGTCACTGAGGCAATGAAAAAGATTCAATGGGAAACATTTTGGGTCTTGCGCCTCCCTTTATTTCTGCATTCAAAGTGGCATCATTGATGCATTTTTGTTTAAAAATAAGATAAGGAAACATCAAAGTACTTTGACCTTTTTTGAAAATAGCTATGTAACTCCAATTGAACAGCTAGACCTTCAGGTGGGAAACAGGTTGGCCTCAGGCCTGTACCTGTTCCCTCTCTCACTCCTGGAGATGCAACTAACTCAGCTGAAGGCAAAACTTCTTAGAATAGCAACCTCCTAATTTATAGTCTTCAAGAGTCTCCCTTGTGAAAATAATTAGCTTTCAGAATTAGTTTTGGTCTTTAACTGAGCCTCATTGACTTTATCTGCTTCATTTGCAGAATTAAGCACGATGTGCAAAAATAATTCAGTAATAGAAACCATTCTTCATGTATCATTTTTCATCAAAGGACACATAATGAATAATAATAACAGACAATTTGTGAAGAAAAAAAAGAGCTTCCAATTTAAAAATGGAACAAAACATCAAATTAAAACAAAAAATTAATTTGGCTTCCCTTAGCACTTTGTCAGAATTAGGATTGTGAAAGAACCACACGCACCAAGAAACAGAATTATCACTCAGAAGGGCATTTTCCTATACCTTTATTGAAGGCTTGAAACCTCTGGTGTAAAATGGTTTAGATTAACTGAATGTGATACAACTGTGCCAGTAGGTACTAGCTAAGAACCTAGATAATTGTCTAGACACTGTGTAAGGATCTCAACTAATGAGTGCTACACTTCTGTTCAATTCATTGAGTAAATCAATAAACAACTAAAGAAAGAACTATGCACATTGATTGGTACGAAGTAACTTGAACAGGCATTACAAAAGTGAATCAGGAGTCAGGGCAAATGTGGATTACTTTAAACCGTGCTACTCACCCTGCATAACCTTGGTTACTTCACATGAGGCCTTTAACGTTTTAGCATTGAAAAGACCATAAGCACTGACTTACAGGGTCCAGCACAAATTTATTGAGATCTTTTACTGAAAGATGCTAAATTCAAGCTGCTGTTAGTATCCTGAGATATTGTGAGAGCATATGGCAGATGATATTCCTGTGCTTACTCAGCCAAGACCTGACCAGCAGATATGAACCCAGAGAGAACTTGGACATAAAAGCCAGGATCCACTGTAAATGAACAAAAGGGACCAGAAGGAGGCTTGAGAATCAAGGGCTGCTCTGTCCACTGAGCAAAAGATTAGAAAGCAAGAGGGTTGATAACTCAAAGACATTAAGACAAGATAGATAGACAGCCTCTTCTACAGTACAAAAGAGCTGCTCAAGAAAAGCTGTCTAAGGAATAAAGCCCTTGGTACAAGGTCTTCTGGTTGATATTATTGCATTCTTTCCCCACCTGCTTTTACTTCTTAAATACTGGCCCAACCTTCCCTAAGCACACAGTGGAAGACTTGGTCTGCGTACAAAGGCACAGATGTTAAAAAACCCCAAAACTCTCCTAGTAAACACTAGATGATTTACCCTTCTTCCTGGAATTTAATTTCCAGGACTGATTGGCACCATTTTCTGTAAGAAGGTGTTTACTGTCACGATCTTGTTGCTAAAATATTTTGGTGACAGGCAGATCTGAAATACATCAGAGAAAAGTGGGTGAAAAAAAATTCAGAAAAAAAGATAGAAAGTCCTTCAGCTACAATGAAGCAGAAGTAAAACTAAATCTGCTTTAAGGAAACAATCCTAAGACATATACACATCCAGGCTTCCTGAATGCCCCTCTCCATAGTGCTAAATTCACCAGAGGTTTTTAATCCCTCTTGCCCATCACTGTTCAATTGATATTCAGTCATCCATGTCATTTCCCATCTCTTTGGCTGGATACAGATACTGGCCACAGCTGCAACATGTTGATCACAGTTGGCTACCAACCAGCTCATGTTGTCATTTGCCAAAGACTCCATCATGCTTGCTACATTGTTGATAGCTCTTTTCAGATAAAAGATTAATGGCCTCAAATGTCACTAGCTAGTTGCCCTTGCATCTATTTTGCATTCTGTTTTTTACTATTATTTTGATCAGACCAGGTAAAAGAATGCAAATGGAGAACCAAAGGGAAATGCAGGAAAACACTGAAAACTTTACCTGATATGAAAACATCACTTTAGCATTCTCGTGTATCTTCTGCTTACATCTCATTTGACTAACAGGAGACACATTTCCTATGTTTGGCAAAAAGCCTTCACTATCAAACAACATGGAGAGAAGAAAACTTCTGAAATGCATAAATAAAAAGATAACCCTTCGGAATCCTCCTATAGAGTAAAACTGTACACTGAAAAAATTGAGTGATCCTATCTGTGTATTTGTATCACTGCCCTCTGCTGCATTGTAAGTAGAATATCTACCTAATGCACATTCATTTTGAATTGGATTAGTGCGAAAAATTACTCAAAAATTACTTGAAATGCTACTAATTAGAGGTTTGCCCTTCACTGGAGAGATAGAATTTGGTGCTTTTGAAGCAGCAGATCTGAATTCTGTAATCATCACATTCATTAAGCCCATCCATAAAGATGGTGTAACAACTGCACGCCAGCCCAAGGGGCCAATGGCAACTTTGGGTGGCTGTTTTTGCAGGATTTGGGATAATTTAATGGTGTTGCAGTGCCAACATGCAAATCAAACAGCAGCATTTTACAACCACCAATTATTTCTATGTTTTTAAGTAGGTTGGTGGTTTGTCCTCAGTTACTGTGAAATGAAGCAGGAGAACCAAGCGAGCCAATTAAAAAAAAAAAAAAAAAAAAAAAAAAAAGTCATGACATTCTGGTTATCTACACAAAAATTTATGAATATGCAAAATATTTTGGGATTTTGCAGTTCAGAAAGGTCTTTTGATTTTTATGAAGCTGGGAAGAATAATTTACACCGACTAGAGAAGGTGGAGTGGACCAAGTAAATTGAAGTCCTCAAAAATTCTTTATTTATGTGTTAGATGGAATTGTCCTATGCTGCAGATTGAGAAAGCTTCCCCAGCCTCATACACAGCAGTTTTTTTCAGCTGTCAGGAGCAGTTAAATTTTTTAAAAGGCACTTTAGTCTCCCATACAGAATATCAGGAATGCAGAGTTCACATTTGTAAATGTAATCTGCAAACAGATATGACAATAATTGGTACTGTGTGCCCACAAAAAAAAAAAAAAAATGGGGCACTTGAATGAGAGTGGCATGTCAGCTCAAGGAGAAAATAACATCTGCCATATAACCACATTATCAGCAAGAGCATAAGACACAAATGTGCTGACCTCATAGAAAACCACATGGAAACGTATATTGAAGAGTGGTATAGTGCACAAAACAGCTTAGACACTTCTCCAATCCCACTATTACTCTGTCCAGCAGTTCATGATTTACTGTGTTTAGACTCTTAAAACACAAGTGGCACAGAATTAAGACCTAGATTTTCCAGGGACAGCAAACATCCACCTGCCTCTGAAGTCAATGGAAATTATGTACCTAGAGACCACAGAGCAGATGGACAGAGAGACTCAAAGGTATGCTTAAAAAGACAAATGAGTATGTACCAGATAAAAACAGACCAGCTTGATCTGCCACAGGGGGGAACAGCAAGAAAGCAACCCCTGCCATGCTCATTAGATATGTATCAGATTTACTAGTCCAAAGTCCATGAAACCACATATATCCTTCATTGATACCCATAGCAGAATAATAGTCTAGCTCGGGTGATGAAATACTGCTTGGCTAAGCAAGTTGTCAAAAGCCTTACAGGTACTGTGTGATAGACATGGTCTGCAGCAACTTCAGGAGTTTCATGCAAGGAGATGTAGTCTGAAGCCTCTTCAGCTACTGTTTCTATCACTTTTCCCTTCTTCCCAGTCCATCAGCTGCCCTCAGCCTTGCAGGTTCTAGCTTATGGAAGTCCATAATCTTTGCACCACCTGCATGATTTACACAGCTTCTCCCTTTCAAACCCAGGCTGGATGAGGAGAACATCAGGAGCACAGAACGTCCCTTGGCTCTGTTCTGATACCTGGCATGTGAATGTGGTGGGTTCAGGGCTGTATCACCACGTCCACATCATATGACCACAAGTACACATGCTGACTTTAAGAGGCTCTAATAGGAGGGGAAGAGAAGGAGGGGGCTAGAGCACACTTTATTCTTCTGGTAAATCTATGCCTACAGTGTGTATGGTGGGTTTCCTGCCCTTCTGTGGTGTTTCACTCAGTTTCAGCAACTTTTGATTTTGAGAATGAGTTAGGTTTTCCCTCCCTTGGGTACTGAAACAAGAGCTTTTGCGGAATAGAAACATTAATTTCTGTAACTCCTCTCCATCTGATCTATTCTGACTGCCAGTTTTCCAGGGACAGAAACTATTTCTCACTGTGTCTCTGGACAGGCTCACCATGAGTCTTAGGTTTGGAGGGTAGTTTCCATGTGTGATACGACACCATGAAAAAAGGAATCTATACAACTTGTTTCAGCCTTGCAAAGAGAAAAAAGTCCATAGTGGCTAAACCCCACTGCCAGCATCATGAAGAGGGCAGGTAGGTAATCCAGCCCCACCCCTGTGCCTTAAAGTAATGAAGTTCTGATCTGCCCAGGTCTGCCACCCAGTTCTGTCTTCCAGTGCTTTCTAGACCCTTCACAGTCTCACAAACTTTGCCTTATGAGGCTACTCCAGTTCATGTTCACAGGAATAATCCCCTAAATCTTTCCTGCTCTCTTCCTACTTCCATGAAGTAGGAAGAATAGAAAGGGAGAGAAATGACATCATACAAATTTATGCCAACTTAACATTACTGAGGGAACCCCAATGGGAGTCTCCACTCCTAAATACAGCTCCAAAGCCTGTTTCCAGTGTTTTGGAGGAATAAAAACCAAAACACAAACACCACAACAAAAAACACCACCAGAAACCAACATAAAACCCAAAGACGATATAGCATGTACCACAGTCATTGTTTAGACACTAGTAAATCAGACGCTTTTGTACTACAATTAGTTGTTCTAACCTGTCTTGGAAATCTCATATGTCTATACACACACACAAATGCATAAAAATGCACTTCTCCAAGTAATGAACACAATACCTGCTCTAGGTCTCCTGCTGTTCTTTTATTTTCTCCTGTGGCATCTTGATACGGTAAAATGAAGAGTTCGGCAGCTGTGGGCAGACCGGGGAGCACTGCGACCAGAATATGCTTGCTTGAAATACCTGTTGCCTGATACATAGACAATTAATGGACAGATAAACAGTGGGGATGGCACTGAATGCTGACAGCTTCTTTGCTAAGGCATCACAGTACTTATACAAATGATGTAAGTTATATGTGGTACAAGAGGGAAAATCTAGTTAAAATCCACGGCATGTGAAAACTCAGGGATTAATAATGTCCTGATCTAAGCTATTTTAACACATTCTCCAGTAAAATATGCAGAGTCCTAAGACAACAATGACAATCAGACATGCTAAAAACAGCTCCTAAATAACAGTTGCATATGGTATGATTTGCTTTGTCTAAATTTAGCTATTTAAAGTTATCTGACTATCCCAAGTTAGCCCTTGAGGTTCTTCATTTAGTCAATGGTAAGAAGCAACATGTTAAAGGGCAAGGAATGTGGGCAGAATTTCACTCTAGGGGTGTGATTAGCCAAAACATCTTTAAAAGTCTTGTGGAGACTCAGGGAGAAAGAAGATGATGAATCAAGTTTGAATCCCAAAAGCCAAACAAATTCTTATAGTTCACATCCTGGGTCAATTCTACAAGTTAATGAGGACCTTTTTTTTTTTTTTTCTTTAGGTGCTAAAGATTGTCTAAATGTGCTATTTTGGTTTTTTGTGTTCTTGGCTGAAAATCTTAAGAAACCAGTTTAAACCCAAATCCCCCTTCAACGCAAATTACCCAAAATTAAAAAAAAAAGTACCCCACAGGCATCACTACCAGGGTCATCTCTGGTCATGGGTTTCAGCTGCTGTTATCATGACATTACACACTCAAATTATGGAGTTCTCCAGAAAAGGAGCTCATTTGGCCTTCAGGAAGTTTTGAGAGCCGAAAGGAGAAACATAGTTTGCTAAATCTTCCTCCATTGCCTCTTTGTGTTGTGGATTATCCAAGTAAATGCATTTAAATCTCAAGGTTTTAATTTAAATTGTAAGTTTCCAAGAGGTGAATTTAGTAGGTCACTTTTAAAGGAAATAAAAAGTGCCCTCAGATGTAAGGGCAGACCACAGCAGCTGGATGCAGCACAGAGATTCCCCTGCAGTCAGGACTTGAACCCTCTCAGACATTAATTGAACCTAAAACTCATGGACTCTTCTTCCTAGTACTTCAGGAGCAGAGACTTGGAGCAGCTGCTCGCTGAAGAAAATGATGGACAGCGGACAAGGACCCAGTGAAAGTGATTACAAATCACCATTACCTGAGCTAATTCTGTGGCTATCCCACACATGACAACTGTCAGCCCGGGGAATACCCTGTGGAGCTATGAAAAGGGAAGCCTTCCCCTCCACTGCATGCCAAGGAAAAGCAGGTGGTTTTGTTGATGTTGTTTTTTAATGTGGATTTAGAAAAAAAATATAACAATTTAAAAATCTCATATGTTCCTTCCAAGTATTATGTGAAGCTAGGGCTTGCGCTATTTGTGCTTGCCTAGCAGGTTGCTTTAAGAAGTCAAGAAAAAGACACAGTATTACCAGTTAATGGTAATGGAAAGTCTTCATTTTCTGACACTGGGAATTTTTTTTTTTTTTTTTTTGTATGGAAGCTTCTGGCTGATCTACTCTGTTCATTCTTGTCTTCATCAAAAGCAGGAGACAGGACTCAGAAAATCAATGATGTGAGCAAAGAATTATGATCATAATACAAAATAGGATATTTTGTGATAATCTGAAATTATCCCTACTTAGAGAGATCAGATTTTAGTAGAGAACTATAATTTCTTATGCAGAACTTTTATTCAAGTCTATGGTACTCTGTAATAAGAATGTAATATTTTAATAAAAGTTCATAAAAATGGTATAGAACAGCTATAATTTCCTGTTGAATTATTTAGTTATTCAACTCATTATTATACAGTTTACTTAATTCTGTAGAAATCTACTGGTTTTCTCTTTAATTTTTACAGGAACTTCTCACAAAGGCTTGTTTAAGGTGAATCATTTAGCTACATAAAGAGGGATAATTAGCTATCATTTTTTAACTCAAACAACAAAAAGACTGTGTTTTCCCTGCTCTGCTTTTGGAATGTAGCCTTGGTACTGTAGTTTTAGAATCCTTTTATTATGGCTTATTTTTTTTTATTGAGTTGTTTATATTCTGAAAATTCATCCCAAAGATAAATGGATCCTTGAATACTTGACACAGATATAAATAACTCAGAAGAACAAGCTCCAGAAAAAAAAAAATGTTCTTTTTTTTTTTTTTCTTCCCTCCTCTCCTCCTGTCTCTTGAGGAAATTGAAGAAAAAAAATCTCATAAATAAGCCAGAAAAGTTTGTGTGCACTTGATTAGAGCACAGCGTCTTTCCAGTGTTTTTGCACAGGTGATGCCACAAATGAACATATAAGCTTGCTAAGAACATGTACAAGCCTTGTATCTTTTCAAAATTTGAGTAACTTTATTAAAAAAAAAAAAAAGCAGAAACCTTGCTTCAAACAGTTTCTTTTGCTATTTTTCTGCTGAGCTGAGAAACCCCAGCTGTCTCTTCTAACATTTCGTAGCCTCTCAGTTTGAAATCCACGTCTTCAGCCACACAAAAATATTTTTGTGATATTCTGTTCCTCAGTTAGAGAAGGAATTTCAGAGCTCCTCCATAGTGTTGATGGGAAAAACAGCATCCAATCCTGACCTATGAACCTCATGCTATGTGAAAGACATAAAGTGCTTACTGTGGTGCTCTTCTCTGTAGTAAAAATTGTTTTCTTTTTGGTCTCCTAAGTTTCCTACAGTATATTTGTAATTCCATTAGAATAGAACTACTTTCCACTGCTGTATAAGAACAGCAGTAAAAGAAGGAAGCATTGCTATGCAGCAGTAAAAGTATTTGTACAGCTATAGGTAGGTATAAGTAATTTATTTTCTATGTGCCCTTTTCTGAGAAATATTCCACCTAATGTACTGTCATTAAAAAAAAATAAACTGAAGGCTGATTCTGAGCACCAGATTGTCATAGGATTGGATAATTTCACCTGTCTAAAATTTAGGATTCCAGTCTCATACAATAGCCTAGCCTCCTTTTATAGATGGTAGAAACAGAGAGGTGTCTTGAGAAAACAGCTGATCCAACCCTAATGCAGGCACAAACCAGAAATTAGAACCATTGTAATGCAGATTATGAAAATTTCTTACCTCCACCAGAGCTCTCTTGACTACTCTACTGACATCCCTCCTCCACTCTGGGATATCTGGATTGTAGTCGTCCAGGTTTGGAGAGAATGATAACCGCAGGGACTGAAATTTCTCTGCAGATACGATGACATGGTGGTGAGTAAAGACTGTGAAATGCCTTAGTGCCAAATGAGTGGGCAGAACCTAGTGAAACCTGCTGCAGCTCATGTTGTGCTTCATCAATCTGCAGGTGATGCACAGACTGTCAGAGAACCCAGCAGTGTGTCTGAGAGATTCACCGAGAGATTTGGAGAATCTGAGAGGCGTACAGCTAGAGTGTCACCAAACCAAAGAGGCTGAACAGTCTTTACTTCAACGGATGAATAGCACTGGAAAGGGAGCTGTGCTGGGAACATAAATGAAATGCTACCTTTGCCTTGACTTCTGAAGCAGGCAAACTCTATGAAAGAAGCTGTGATGGTACCCTCATAGACATGCCCAAACACTTGAAATCTTAACTGGAAGGAGACAAAGGTGGGGAGAGGAAAATGTACTTAACCTCTGCTGGTGTTAACAGAGATGCCCGCCCTGATCACTAAGACCATGTGCTTGGTATGAAGAGCTAAAACTGGGGTCCCCGGGGTTCTTAGACTACATCTATACTATTTATTAGTATAGATGCTTCTGAGGTCTGAATACAATATCAAATCAGCACAGACTTCTGTACAGAACAGCAGCACACAGCTTTGACTTATCTTTCAGGCTAAGCAGCTTTTGCATGAGTTAAGAGGCCTCTATGGGCCGAGTGGGAAAACCAGCTCGCAAAATGACCTAACATTTTGACAATCATGTAGGATGACCAAGTAGTGATAGAGCAGACGCAGAGGGCTCTGGGGGGGAGATCAGTGCCCTGTAATTACCTCAGTCTGGACTACTGTCAGTCAGTGGCCTTCAGAGATGTTATGCTGAACTGATAACACTGGAACCAAGCTCATAATCTCACTCAAAGCATCCTGGAATAAAGACCTCATGCTGCTGCCAGTTAGCCTGGCTCTCTAGCTCTTGACTATGGAGAATCCTATGTGAAATGAAAGGGGAAGAGCTCACCATACACAGCAATAGTCTTTGTGTCCTGAAGAATGGTGTTTCTTGCTGAGACCTGAACAGTGATGGTGTTCATCCCCTCCACAGAAAATGTGAATGTGATGCTCCCTTCCAATGTGATCAGTGGCTGCAAATATATCAGAAAGGAGAAATTAACTTAATTTGGCTGGAAAGGAAGAGCAAAAATTAGCCTACTGGGATGGTTTGGGGAGTCAGTTGCAGCTTGGAAACTTCAGACTTAGAAGGAGTCCAGTGACACGGAAGCCAATTTTCTGGAGAGAGCCCAGGGATCCAGATGGGGTTGTCCTCCTGAAGCTTTAAGTAAGGCACCTATAATTTCCATAGAAGCTAAGTTTTAAGATGCCAGTATTTCCTTTGCACTAAGCATGCTGGCTGTCCTGGATCCATTGTTAAAGTGTCTGTCTTTGCTGCACTCCCCAGAGAGGCCTGGATCCTACTGTGAGGGCCTGCAGGATCCAGGTGCCACAATCCTTTCCTAGATCTAGCTGTCAGTGAACTGCTTAAGGTCACTCAAGGAGGTCGTGACAGAACCAGGAGGCAAATTAAGACTTCTCAGTTGTTCTCCCACATTATCCTTACACACGGAGACAACATTTTGGAAAGCGATGGTGTTTAGAGAGGACACAGACCCCTTCAGCTTGTTTCACTGGGCAAACCAACGAGTTGTGCCCCCTTTCAGCAGTCTCTCCCCTAACTTCTGTTTTTGCTTGTTAATGAACTCTGGGTGAGATCTTCAAAGCACCCAATATGAAGTCAAACTGTTCCTATTGTATCCTGTAGCGAAACTCTCACTTCAATGAGAAGAGAGTTAGACCAACTCCCATCACTTATGAGCTTAGCAGATCTGAGGGAAGGTTAAAAGGTGACAATAACAGCCTGTAAGTACCTCTAAGGGGAGATGATTTCTGATAGTACAGAGAGTTCTTTAATGTACACACAAAGGTATAACAAGATCCAACAGCTTGAAACTGAAGCTAGATAAATTCAGACTACAAACACAGTGCATGTATTTAGCACTCAGGATAATTAGCTGTGGGAAAATAGTTGGGGGAGAAGGTAAGAAAGAGCAGCAGTGAATTCTCTATCATCTGACGGAAATTACAAATGCAAAACAACAACAAAAAGTCAGGCTCTGCCTTAATCACAAAGAGTTGAAAGTAAAAAGTAGAAAGTACTGATGAAAGCCTCTGACCTGCATTATACAGAAGATAACCACGTGTGGTTGAAGGTCCCTCTTGGCTTTACAAAATCCATGAGAATCTCTCTCCTCAGAGACAAATTAGGGTCTTCAACCACAGAGAGATGTAAAATAGCAGTTATAATGCCTGTGCAGATTTACCAACACTGCAAGCGTAGAGGCAACAGAATGTGGTGCATGCTGTTCTCACATCTGAGAAGAGCCCAGAGGCAGGGAGGCATGTTGTAAACCATTTCATCCACCAATAGCACATGATAATAAGGTCTTACTGCACATGCAGTTCAGCACAGAATGTGGGGGCTCAGGACTGGGCTCAGCATATTTAAGGAGAGGCACAGAACCGATGGCAGTCTCTTCCCTTGTTAGTCACCAGAGAAATTAGGTTTAAATGCTAGAGCTATGTAAAGTTAGTTCCAGATATAAAGCCAGCTTCAGTTCGAAAGGTTAGTTTCCTAAAAAAAAAACCCAAAACTCCAAGTCTGTTCTTGTTGTTGATGGAGGGGCAGGCAACACAGTAGAAACTCTTCAAGATTTTAGTTCACTATGTCTACACAGTGAACCAAAATTGGTTTTGGATTGGCAATCTGCATGAAATAGCAATAAACTCTACAGCTAAGTCACAGCAACAAACACAAAGCAGTTCTTATATTTCAATGTTAGTACATCAAAGAGCCATTAGTCTCTTGATCTCTGGTTTACAATTTTCTGATGTGTGTGACTATTTAGAAGCATTCCCAGACCCTTTCTCCCTCCCTCCTCAGTCAGAGAACTCTGCTATTATTTTGTTCTCAGCCCACAGGGAATACAAACCTCCGTGTTGTTCCCAAACCACCAGATGTAAGTAAGCGTTCCTGCTTGGCTTGGCCACAGCACTGCCGTGGCATTGACCTCCTTGTTCTTTGTGGTGACAAATGGTAGAGATAAGTGAACATGTTCCAAGGGGCCTGAAGAGACAAAAGCAGAAGGTGAGTCTTCCCTCCCTCTGAAATGCCAACCTGGGGGAGAAGGGAACTGAGGGGATATCCATTTGTTTAAGGGAGAGAAGTCCTCCAAATCAGTGTGGGGTATGACAGCAGCTACCCCTGTACCTGGAGCGGAAGAACTTAGACTTCTTACTGAACGAACCTCATATACTCAGGGACAATATATACAACTTAAACAATAGTGGCAGAGCCCTGTTATGTGAATACGACCTTCACCAGGAAGACATGAGAATGTGCAGGACAAACAGCTTCAGTGGACATGAAGCACCTCTGCTGATGCAAACTCCTGTGATTTGGTGAAATTCAGCAACAGTGTATCTATATATATATCAGCTGAAACTCTATCTGAAGGCAGCTATTCACTGAGTGCTTGCATTTTAATGTTACCTTATACTCCCTTCTTTTCCTCAATAAACCTTTTATTTCTTTAGTATAAACAGAACATAATTCATTCGACAAGTGACATTATGCCCAGGGTTACACATTTCCCATCTTCTGGAAACAGATGGGCCTTTGTTGTTACATCTTGTTCTATAGATTATTTTTTAAAATGTGTTCTGACTGTTCACTTAGAGAACAAAGCAATTGTCCTGAGAGTGACAGAGAAAGAAAAAGAAAGAAACCCCAGGTGACACGGGGACATGGGTTTCTTAAACAAATTAAGGCCACATCACATATTCTACATCTGCAAGCTGCCCAGTGATGAGAAGCAGAGACCATAGCCTGAGAGGATCGATTGCACTGTCCATACGGAGTCGAGATTCATTACTAGAGGATCTTACATATTTCAGGGAGAGGATTTTTTTTAGGACACAACCCATGCCTGTATCATCACTTAGACCTTGCTTTTCAACCTCAAGGAACAGCACACATTTTGGAGCAAGCACCCTGTTACCTCTATGCAGCACACAGGCAGAGAGAGACACGTACAGAAAACTTCTCTCAAATTAGACAGTATAAACAATGCCAGCATTAACAAAGACCAGTGTTCCTGACTTACTACCGAAACAACAGCTTTCTCTGGTTTGTAGACACAGCTGCAGCTTAAACTGATGCAGCCCAATTAAGAGTTATCCATGGTCAGAATAACCAAAGCCGGCTATGCACCAGACCATAGCTCTTTTTCCCTTGTATAATCAGCAGTCAGCACTCTTCTTGAATATTCACTAGAAGCCAGGATTTCACCCTTATGATTTTAATGGCATTCCCCTGCTCAGATACATTTCCGTTACTGGGCCATGCCTGCTCTCAGCAAGACTCCAAGACCTGGAAAACAGCAGCTTTGCGGGCTAAACATTTTGCAGCTCTGGTATCCTTTGGGATGTTTGCCAAATGCCCAATGTCAGCACAGCACTCTAAAGGAACACATTTCCTAACACTGGATGCGGTGGTAGCAGTGACAATGGAGCCTATATAAAGTCTGATACACTCCAACATCTGAATACATCTCAAATGATCCAGCACTGCAAAGAGTGCCCACCACCTCCTGGGACCTCCACCATGTATATGGTGGCCAGGAAAGAACATGAAACAATGGCTCAAGCAAGCAAATTCTGCCTTAATATTTCTGTGCACATAGCTGATGGGTCAAAGTGGCTGAAAGGCTGCACTATTATGTGGCCAGCAGATGGGGATAGCTCACTCTGGATAGGCCCTTAGCTTGCTAGGAGACTGCTTTCTCTCAGGTAAATTTGAAGAGAATTCAAGAGAACTCATTTCTGAGCTTCACGTGGGGCCATGGAGACTACAGACCTTCAGCTGCCCCAGGAAAAAACTGCTCGAGTCCTAGACAACAGAAAGAGAGAAGATTCTCCAAAAGTTCACTTGGTCAGGTGATGTTATCCTGAAGCATTAAGACAAACGCACAACTAACTTTCCCAGGGAAAATTTTGTCCTGTCAGGACAGTTCAGAGACAGCCTGTTGGCTGGAGAAGCAGTTTATACACAATTTACTGTCCATCCACCCCAAAATGCTCCTGCCTCACAATAAGCTGCATTTCTGGATCCCTCAACCAAGTGCAGCAAAGGTGCTGCTGCTGCTGTGCACTGGCCCCACAGCTGCAGCAGGACAAGGAGGGCACAGGATGGAGACTTTCCTCTGCTCACCACAAGCACCATGTTCCAGTGCTTGCAGCATTCCCCTCAGCAAGGCTGCTGGCCACAGGTAGCGAAGGTGTTGAAAGGCTCAGATCTGGCTGCACACACTCGTATCAACCCTGTAACTAAGGGTCACCCAGCTAGCAGCCCCTTCCTAAAACTCTCTGGGCGTTCAGGCTCTACACTGCTTTTCTGTGGATTTTGGCAATATAGTGTGTTTGTCTATTGTAAAGACAGGTATTTTTACAAAGCTCCCCAAGCTCATACACCCCAAGCAGAATACTCAGCAGAGCACCGAGTGGCAATGCAAGCATTTAAATAGGATTTAGAAGCTTTTCGTGGATCTGGGTGTTAAGCTCTGGAGGGGTCTGGATTTACGGTACATCTCTGCCCTCAGCAAATCCATTGCTAGTCTGAGTGGCACCATGTTCAGTCTGCAACCTAAATCCCCAATTCTTGTCATGCAGAGAAAGGTGAGACATATCCCTTAGAGCTGTCACGTTTCCAGGGGTTCATGTATCTATAATCTGGGCCTGGCTGCAATGACCACACAGCACCTAAGTCCTATGCTGGCATTACCTACACACAACACAGAAACATACACTATCAGCTGGGAAGTCACACAAACATATCTGAATATTGTTTATTTCTTGTACTGTTCAAATACTCAGAATGGTTCTTAAGCCTTCAATGTCTCAAGAAAATGGATTAAACTAGCTATAAACCAGAAAGGTACTATCAGTGAAAGTAAAGGCTGGACACCTGCATTCTGCTTCCATTTTGTGGTTGTTGCATGAGCAAGTGTTTGATGTTTCGCGGGGCCTCGTTACTTTACAGATAGGCTGAGGGTGTGCAACAGTCCCCGTGGAATAATTCCTTGTCAAACTGCAAGGTATTAGAAACCCTGCTCACACGAGGTTGTCAGAACCTCCTGTGAAATATCAACCACCAAAACACTTCTCCGTTTGTTTCCAATGACCTTTACAAAAAAAAAAAAAAAAAAAAAGAAAGAAAGATCACGGCTCCTGCTGAGCCTCTCACTGCTGGCCCAGCAGTGGGAGGGGGATGTCTGCATTCAGAGCCTGCAGCAGGTCCCATGACAATTACTCAACCATCCGG